CAAGGACGAGAATCGGCTTATTTTTGGAGGTTTTCCAACAGAGTTTGGTTGAAGCTCCTCTCCGAAGAAAGACGTCCGGTGAAGCAAAGGGACCGGCCGCGGCCGCGGCCACAGCCACCCCCCCGCCCCCGCCCTCCGGACACAAGTGCGTCAGAGCCGTTAGCAGTGCGGCGGCAGGTGCGGACTCTTACCTGAGTCGGTGCTCGCGGTGCCCGGGAGCCATTTTACACCGTGTACCGTCCCACAAATCACACCGGTCCCTCCGCCGGGTCTCCCGGCAGATTAACGCTCTGCGCTCGCAACTACGGAGGTTTCCTCTAAGCACTGGAAACACCGGAGCACCGGCTCCGCGCGCTCAGCCTGTGGCGAACAAAGCAGGCGGCTCCGGCGGTGCTCCAGCCGGGAACGACGAACTCTGCGTCTGTCTCTGCCGCCAGCTGCGGACCTGCGCAGTCAAGCCGCAGAGAGCACCACTCTTTCCAAACCTTTCCAAAATAAAGCGGAGATGACGTCACATCATTCAATAACTGCAGCGGACGACTCCCGGGGGTCGAGGCCCCTCAGCCTGAGTTCAGTATGTAGCCCACTGAGCTATGACACGTAATATTTTAATGAACAAAAATCCCTTGTTCACATGCTGTGAAAAATGTCTGAACATTTTATTTACTGCCACATTTAAACTACAGAAGATGAGCCGAGTGCATTCAGCTTTCCAAAAACCTTCAAAATAAAAGCTGTGTAAGACTTTAAACCCCCAACATTTTTTTTGTTGGCTTTTTCTGATTTTTCAAGACTTGAATAAACAGATCTGACCAATCATAGCACTGCGTTTGGTAACAAGCATCATCGTAGCATCAGTACTAAATACACAGTGATGTGAAAAAGTAAAATAATCCTGTTTTCCCTCAGACTCAAAGCTAGGTGCCTCCCAGGGTCAGTCGGCTCTGTGAAATGATTTCTTTGACATCCGGAAGTACGTCTGAAAGCTTCGACTCCGGGATCAAACCAGGAAATTCTCCTCCTGCTGCCTTTTCCTGAGAATCCAGTCTTCACCTAGAAACATCAGAACCAGCTCAATGCCACTTTCTGTCCACTCCATTTTTTTTCACAGCATGATTTTTCAGGAATCATTTTTCGGTATTTTCAAGTGAGTTAATACCCTACACGACGTGTGCGGAACCAAAAACATCTGAATTTCAAGTCGTTTATTCGTTACATACTGAGTGTATAAAGGCCTAGGGTGGGTGTTTAGTCTGTTTAAACCCAACTCTGGTTGGTTTTCTTTTCGGTGTGGTTCGTTGGTGCAGGTGTGAATACAGTAAGCATACTTGGACCAAAACAACAGAGACCCTTTTGGAGAAGGTGTTCTCGATATGGTTCCAAACCAACTCCAGAGAGGTTTGTTAATGGTGTGAACAGGATCAGACCTCGATCTGAACCAACAGCCCAGCTACTGCAGCCATGTCTGCATTGTATTCTCAATGTGGGAAGCTACTATGAATGTGCACAGGTCTGTACGGGCTGGCAGCTAGCTGGTTAACTTAAATTTTCAGTTTTCTCACACACCACATTCCTCCTGTGTTTAGTTTTACTGCTCCTGTCCCAGACACATGTGACCAGTGGGCAGACTGAACATTCTCACGTTGTTTGTGGTGATGCATTTTGGTTCGCTTGGAGTTCACTTCAATGTTTCTCTGTGTGAAAACTAACCAAACCACTGGGAAAAACTAACCAACATGGTAAGTGTCCTTACCATGTTGGTTTTGGGGGAGTACAGATTTCAAACATGCCTTATTAAAGTCCCCAGCAACAACATGAACGCCCTCTGGATGTAAACAATGATAACTATGGCTACTGTTAGCTCGCAGGTAGATAAAAGGGCCCGCACTGAATGGACATGGCCTCCAAGTCTGGTGAGCAGTGACTTTTTATAATCCTGTATGCATTATGGCCCCCCTCCCTTACCAGAGTTTTGTTGCGGTCCTGGCTCAGGTGCAGGGAGAGGAGTGCCGTCTGTGTTGCTTGCTGTTCCAGACAATAGCCCATGGAGCACCTGCTGGTCTCACAATCTCTGAATACTGTGTGTCTAATCTAAAGTAAAGTCCAGGTTCAGGCTATGGATGATATCTATCGATTCCTGACGAGTGAAAGTGATCAGTGCATTGCAGCAAGTCACAATAAAAAGCATAAAAAACACAAAACGTGCACAGTAGTCGGGAGCGCTGTGACACCGCGTACACGTCTGTACGCACCACCAGCTTGGTGACTCGTGAGTTTACTACCTCATTAACTGATCTGGACCAGAATGAACAACTATATGTGTGAAAACACCCTCAGACTCCGACATCCACCACAAATGAAACATCATTTAGAATTTAGACCTTTTTTTAAAGAACAGGTCGGCTGAGTCTGTGCAGAGCATGATTTGTGGACGGGTCAACAGTTGTTCTCACTGTTTTGTGGGCTGTAGATTAAGGCTGGACTCAAAAGCAGACTCAAATGAGGCGCTGTGACTGAGTCAGAAACCGCAAACAGTCATTGAGAAACCCGTAGCAGTCAATGAGTGTGACAAGACAGGAGAGGCCGACAGTCCTGATCCTCAAGGATCGCCAGAAGGGACCGGCCCTATCCAATTACTGGCCAATAACCTGCATCACTACCACATGGAAGCTCCAGTCAAGCATCATAGTGACTAGGATGAACAGGGATATTGCCTACATGAGTGGGACACAGAAAGGAATCAACAGGAGCACCCGAGAGGCAAAACACCAGCTATTGGAAGAAAGAGCAGTTCCCCAAGACTGCAAGACTGTGCACTGCTTGGATTGATTACAAGAAGGCCTACGACTCAGTGCCCCACACCTGGATCCTGGAATGCCTAGAACTATACAAGATCATCAGGACCCTAAGAGCCTTCATCAGGAAGCCAGTGGGGATGTGGCGTACAATACTGGATACTTCAAACACACAGCAAAAGTCATCAAGTGTGGGCCCTACCAAGGAGATGCTCTGTTCCCACTGCTGTTCCAGGTTGAACCCCCTCAGTGAGATCATCGACACAACTGGCCATGAATCCGACTACGGAACGAAGTAATCGTCAGTCGCCACCTCTACATGGATGACATCAACTTGTATGCCAAGAGTGAACGAGACATCAACTCGCTGATCCACACCACTGGAATCTACAGCAAGGACACTTTAGAATGTCTTTCGGACTGGAGAAGTGCAGTCAAACAAAGAAAGCCCCAACAATCATATGACCCCTTTTGAGCAAGCACTTTGGCAACAGTGAGAAGGAAGATAAGTAGTGGCTTGATGAGCCAGGCTGGTTAAAGCAGAAACAGGGAGAGAACAGAGTTGGTGCAGAGAAGTCGAGGAAACGATAAAGAAGCCGACTGACCCTAACCCCTAACCCTAACCCTGAAATCTGGCAAGGATTGGATGCTTGAGCTGGTCCTTAAATGTCAGAGGTGACTCCAGCTGAGGCCTGACTGCAGAGAGAGAACCCACCCACGCCCGGAGCGAGGAGAAACCACACCTGGCCTGGACTCAAAGGTGGGGGAAAAAGAGACTCCAAGGGTGTGTTCCAAAAGTCCCTCCTATCTCCTACTTCTAACCTCTGTTCCTTGACCTCAGTGACATTTCCAGTATTGGAAACGTGGGTAGGAGAATCGCTAAAAACTTAAGAAAAGAGAAGAACTGCGTGCTGAGAACTGGAACAGCCTCATACTTGTCTCACCACTGTGAGAGACGAGTATATGTCCACCAGATGTCCACAATATTGAACCTACAATTTATAGATGATGGACTACAAAATGTGCACTTTACTTTGCCACTATATTTTCTAAACCCGGTGTTAGAAGTGACTTCTCTCTGCTGAATCTGTGACAAATAAAAGTGTTAGTGTGTCAGATTAATGGGGCCTTAACCCTCACCCTCAATGTTGCCATTAAACTAGAAAGCCAAGCACGCATACATGCATGTGTCACAGTAACGTGGGACGGCTCGTGATCAGACGGTAAATGGCGTTCCTGTACTTCTGCACATCGTCCAGGTGACCTGTTCACACAGACTTCAGTTTGTAATGATGCAGCTCTCCTGTAGATGAATCCTGAGCTCCACCTGAGTCCTAATCCTCAGACCCTCAGACCTTTGCACAGTGCTCACTGGTTTCTGTCACAAGAGTTATTTGTTAAATCCAAAGCAGACTGATTCTCCTTCAGCCTCCTCTCATGTATCTGCCTCGCTGTTTTCAGAGACAAACACTTGAACCTGAGCTCACACTGGATTATTTTGGTTAGCGGGCCTGCAGCGCCCTCCCTCGCTCTCCCTCGCCCTCCCTCACCCTCCCTCCTCAGGATTGTTGAGCCACTAATTAACATTCTCTCAGCTGATTGTTGGTTTTTACTGTGAACTGCTAATTGTTAGATCACCCTGTGATGTCACAATAATTTACCTCATTGAATAAATCTGTCCAATATAAGATAAAAAAAAATCAAATCTCAGTTTGTTATGTTTTCCTGCTGTGATCCAGGGGAGCATCTTTCCTGTTTAGGAATTCTGTGAGTGCAGTAAAATTCCTCCATCATCACTGATCCCAGTTGACCTGAACATGAATCCTAAATCCTGTAACACAACCAAGGACATTATACTCAAACACACTTTGATCAGTTACTATAGATCATAATGATGAGCTCATACAGGAACAACTCCACAGGAAGTCGTTTTTATTACAGCAGGGTGGCGTTCAGAGTTCAGCTGTGAGTTTGCCCTTTGACCCGGGGGATGGTGTCAGGGTTTCAGCCTCGTTTGCAGGGAACCAGAGCTGCATGGAACATAGTTGCAGTGACTGCTGAGGCCGTTATGACGTGCTTATTTAAAATGAAATAAGGAAGGAAGCTGTGCAGGTGCACAAACAAGCGAAGAGGTGAATTTGATGATTTGACAACTGAAATGGATGCGATTGGTTCGTTGCCTCTGTCAGCTTCATGCAGATATGCTCTTTTTTCCCCACAGAGAGATGATTATGGGTAATTTTTTCTTTTATGGTTAAAATTTTATTTGTGAAGAAGTTCATGAAGTCATTACTAGTTAACGTTAAAGGGATTGTTGGCTCAACAGAGCTCTGACTGTTTGTCAGCCTGGCTACAGTGCTGAAGAGAAACCTGGGGTTGTTCTTATTTTCTTCAATCAGTGATGAGTAGTAAGATGTTCTGGCTTTGCGGAGGGCTTTCTTATAAAGCAGCAAACTATTTCTCCAGGCTAAATGATGATCCTCTAAATTTGTGACACGCCATTTCCTCTCCAGCTTACGAGTCCTCTGCTTTAGGCTATGTGTTTGAGAATTATACCACGGAGTCAGGTACTTCTGATTAGAGACCTTAGTTTTCACAGGAGCTACAGTATCCAGAGTCGTACGTAGTGAGGAGGTGAAATTATTAACAAGATAATCGACCTCTGTTGGGGTAGCGTTCAATGGAGTAATCTCCAAATATGAGACGGTATTTTCAACCTGTGTGAAGTACACAAAGCAAAAAACTGCCTTTCAGTGTGAAAAGGACACGCTTTACACTACAGAGAAAGGTTCACTGCTTCGGGGTTTTCATCTTTCTCCTTTAAAAAGAAGCAGGAATCATCTGCCAGCTCGTAAAATCTGAATTCAGTAATGCTTGAAAAGAAGTTTTGCATCCAGCAACCAGCAGGAACAGAAATATGGAGACTGCACAGCCTTGTTTTAAACTTAGCGAGTTGGAATCAGAGTGTAGTCATCCTCACAGGACTTCCTGATTAAATACATCTTTTATGAAAAAAAAAAAGGTTTTTAACAGTTAGCTCCATCCCTCGCTTTTCCAAGATGGAGATAATGGAAAACATCTGGATGTGATCTTTCAGAAAGCAGCAGGTGAAGTCACAGTAGCTCTGTCATCTTTAAAGCGTGTGGTTCAGTGAGAGCAGCATTCGTAACAGGCGCGAAGCTTTCTCACGCTCTGCACGTCTGTCTGGCGAGAACCAGCTTCTTGTGAAAGGTGAGCATGGGAATCTTCGCCATCATTACCTGCACTCACACATGCAACCAGGTGCTTTGTGAAACTGTTAGCTCCAGGAGTGAAAACACTTCCAAACAGTCCAGATGTGTCTGCGCTGGGGTTAAGAACAGGTGAGGAAATGGAAATAAAGCAGATGTTGTTTATCAGATCAGACTGGTGACCCCTGCAGAGTGAGGCGTGAACCATGGCCAGACCGCCGACTTACAGACTCCTGGGCTCAGGTGTTTGGTGGCCCCTCATTAACCTTTTCTGATGATCACAACTTTTCCTTTCTCCAGTAATTAGCCTCAGCCTAAAGTAAGATTTACACACCTGTACAAAGAACAGTTCTAACTGGAGAACACTGCACCTTACTTCCTGTTTAAAATGCTTCAGAATAAGTGCTCACAAAGGTGCCCGGAGGGGTGTCAGGCCTCCAAACTGGCAAATAAAATACAATTCAACTGAAAGCTTCACATGATTCTTTGTTTTAAACATAAAAAACAAACGATCATTCGAGTTAGTCGAACTCAAACTTCTTCCACTCACAGGCTGAGCAGGAGCACAGCGCCACCTGCTGGATAAACAGAACTCAGCTCCACCCAAATGGCACATCATCAGGAATGTGAGGAAAAACGTTTCCTCGGCTCCTCCTCTGTGGTTTCAGCTTTATATTCACCATCACTAACATGTAAATGATTGATTCTTTCTTTACTGGTGGTTTTTATCTCTCATATAAGTCATTTTTAGACACTTTGTTTTCTCCGTTTCTTTCACTTGAAGCTAAGAATTACATTTCATCCATATAAATCTGTTCTTATTGATAAAAAGACACTAAATTCCTGCGCTGAGGCAGCCAGTGCAGGACAATGAAGACGTGCAGGAGACCAGCACTGCAGGCAAACATGACCTCCATTGTCTGCTCTCCATTAATGAAGCAGGTAACAAAACAAGCACTGAAGCTCAGAGAAGCTCTGACGGCAAAGTGACTGAGAAATAAAGGACTGCAGACCCTATTCTTAATGTGATCCAGATGTGTAAGGTCAGGTTTCCTCTAGCAGCTGTGGATCATCCAGCAGGGGGCAACAGGTGATGCTCATGTTTGCAGACGATGCTGTACGTGACATAGGCAACGTAGAGCAGAGCAGCATGAGAGGAGGTGGTGTCAGCGGCACAGTTTCACACTTTAAATGAAATCTGCAGGAGAAACCAGACAGCAGGGTTAGTTCTTTATTGATCAACAGACACGTGAGAGGCGTCAGGCTGAACACGATAAAAGACACAAATACAAACAGTACAATTTGAATCCCCGTCTCCACAGTAAAAGTCTAAATTGCACAAAGATTATCCCGTCAGAGTCCCGTGAGCACAGGAAGTAAGGCTTCCCCGAGAGGAGCTCGCAGGCTCGAATCACATGAGTCTGAGTTAGAGCTTAAAATCTCTAATAAATCTCTAATGAAACTGTAAAATGTGCCACAGATAAAGGAAGCTCACTGAGGTTTGTAGTCATGTCAGTGTTTCGTCAGTCTATGTGATTAGCATGGTGAAGATGAGAGAGGAAGGACAAAGTGATCACAGTATCTGATCTGTGAGAGTCTCACAGGTGAGCTTAGGCACAAGTTCAGTGCAGGAGAGCAAACAACACACTCAGGCAACGTCCACACTGGCCCGGATAGAAACGGCGTTTTCGTCTGAAGACGCTCCGCGTCCACACAAGCGTTTTCAGTCATTTTCACAGAGTTGTGCGTCCACACTGAAACAGCTGCAAACGCTGACGTTCCAGTGCTGCGCATGAAGCGCAAGAAGATTCGGCCTGCCTCATTTCTGTCTGCCGCTTATTTACTTTCCTGCTCTTTGAAACGTCGCAGGAAAAGCAGCGACTTTTTCAAATGGACTAACAATGAAGTGGAGTCGTTGCTGCGAGTAACACAAAAGTACAAAGTTGCAAAAGCGAGTGAGAATTAAAGAATGTGAAGAAAAGCTCTCTGGAGCGCGTGCAGACTGATGTTCATCTTTAATAGGGCTGTCAAACGAAACAGCTGCTGTGTAACGCCCTCCGCTATCTTAGTTTAACTGGTCACATGACTGCATCACGTGACTAACATGTGTCATCGTTTTCAAAAGTCTCCCTTCTCGCTGTCCACACTGGGACGGGAAAGCACCGTCTTCAAATGTGTGCGTTTTCGAGAGCGTTTTGAAAACGCTGCGTTTTCCTTTGGGGAAAACGGCGTCTCGGTGAGGACGGGAGGCCAAAATGGAGAGAAAACGAATGAAAACGCATTAGTGTGGACGTAGCCTCAGACTCAAACCAGCACAGGTTCAAGAGTCCTTCCCTATCTGTGCAGCAGCGCCTCCTGCTGTCTCCTCGCTTTAGTCGCACGTATCTGCTCACAGAGGCAGTTGTCGTTTGCTCGTGTTGCTCTGTAGCGTCCTGATTCAGAACCACCGACCCGAGCTGCCGAGAGGCATCACAGCCGTCCAGCTGCCGGCACCTGTGTCTTTGGACGCTCGCCGTCTCCGCTCCCGCTGCCTCTACACCTCCTTCTCCTCTTTGCCCTGAACGGACGTCCTCCTCAGGTTCTCCTTGACTTTGACGAACTCGGGGGCTCTCAGGTCTTCCTGCTCCTGCTGTCTCTCCAGCTGAGGACACAAACACGCAGAAACATCTGGATTCACCCCCCTCAGATCAGCAAGACCAGGGTCAAAGGTCATGGGCAGCACACGCAGCATAAAGAAAACCTGCTGCTTTAACGCCGACTGAGCAGCGACGCGCTTCTCATCCTGCGACTGCTGCCACAGGTTTACATGCTTCAGGTGAGCGCACAAGAACGACTGCAGGTACACAATGATCAGCTGTGATCGAGACAACAAAGCTCCAATGTAAAGAGAAAGGTGGTGATGAAGAGCAAAACACACACAGACACACA